GGGGATCATCGTCCTTGAGTCATAAGAGGGCCTGAATGAGCCCCCGAACCCAGGAGAGAGGTAGCCGTAGTGAGAGTTGTGGATGGGGGACGTTTGTGAAAAGGTACCCAAACACACATGTTTTTGGGTCTGCCCACCAGACCAAAGAGCGTTTGATTCTGTTTGGGATCAAAACCAGTTTGTCGATGCTGTTGCATAGTGGCTTATACACCATCCTCAACCACTGTTGCAGCAGTCTCATATGCAGTCTCCCATGCAACACTACTGACATGGTTGCCACCATGTGCCCTAGTAATTGCAAGCATGTCCTTGCTAGTACTTGCAGACTGGCTTGAGACAGTGATATGAGGTCCCATATAGTCTGAAACCTCTGTTGTGTGAGAGATGCTATGGCTTCCATGCAATTGAGGTGAGCTCCAATAAACTCTATTTTCTGGGATAGTTGGAGTTTGCATTTGGAAAGATTTATCTGTAACCCCAGGATCTGAAAAAGTGTTCTGGTCAGAGAGACTGCATTTTATACTTCTTCACTTGTGCTTGCTCTTATCGGGAAGTCATTGAGGTAAGGGAATATGGAAATCCCTTGTCTGCATAGATGTGCAACAACAACTGCCAGCACCTTTGAGAAGACCCTTGGGGCTGTGTAGAGTCCGAATGGAAGCACTGTATATTGGAAGTGTGCGCCACCTACTGTAAATCTGAGGTACTTGCAATGAGTGAATGGATACGTGAAAATACGCATCCTGGAGGTTGATAGTTGATAACCAATCCTCTTTGTTTAAAGGCGAGATTATAGTGGATAAAGTGACCATTTTGAATTGTTATGGTCATGTGTCTGTTGAGCTTCCTGAGATTGAGAATTAGTCTCCATTCCTTCCCCCCTCCCCCGACTTCTTCGACAGGAGGAAGTAGTGGGAGTAAAACCCTTTTCCCTTATAACAATGTGGAATGGGTTCCACTGCACCGAGGTGAAGTAGGTGGTCGATCTGGAGGAGAATGCTCTGGTGAGATGGGTCCCTGAAAAGGGACATGAAAGGTGGGTGGACGGGAGGGAGGGGGGTAAAAGAAAAGTGGATACAGCATCCATTCTTTACAACGTCCAGTACCCATCTGTTGATTGTAATGGAGAACCATTGATGGTAAAAGGGGGCTAGACATTGATGGAATAGCTAGACAGGATGGGTTGCCCTAAGCAGAGAGTTGTTACCAAACTCTAGACCTGAGCTTCAAAACATTTGTCTTGAGATTGATGGCTGAGAGGTGGAGGGTTGGTCAGTGGTTTGCCTCCCTCTGCTCTGGCACTGCCTCCATTTGTTATCAAATTGCCTTTGTGTTTGGCTAAGAGGCATGGGTCTGTACCTCTGAGTAAAGTGTCTTCCCTATTTGTGCTTTACTGTGGGAACATGAATATCTAACATCTTCAAGATGGCACTGGAGTCCCTGAGTAAATGAAAGGAAGCACTGGTGGTGTTGACAAAGAGCTTAGACCTCTGAAAGGGAAGATCTTTTACTGTGGCCTGCACCTCTCAGGGAAATCCAGACAAGTGTAGCCATTATGACCTCCTCATCACCACTGCCATAGCGATGGAACGAGACTCTGTGTCAGAGGCAGCCAGAGCTGCTTCAAGGGCCGTACATGAGACTGTGGTGTCTTCATTGATATTGACCCTGAACTGATTTCTTCTGTCCTCTGGGAGACATTCAATAAAGTGTGCTCAAAAATGTGGTGTGTGTATTTGGCAAGCATGGCTGTGTAGTTTGTTATGCATAGTTGGAGAGATGCAGAAGAATATGCCTTCCTTCCCATTAAATCAAGTCATTTCCACTCCTTGTTGTATGTTCCACTGAGTGGTCCTTGTAACACACTGTTTTCCCCTTTTTTTCACAGCATCGACCACTAAGGAGTTAGGGACTGGATGTGAGAACAAGAAGTCAGTCCCTTGTGGTGCGACATAATATTTGTGGTCTGGTCTCTTGCAAACTGATGGTGTTGTCGCTGGTGTCTACCAGGTGGCTTTGGCAGGGTCCAGAGGGCTGGGTCCATGGGCAGGGCTAGTTTAGCTGCCAGGGAGGCACGTAGTATATTGGTTAATTAGTGCTGATTCTCACAGAGGCTAAGTAGGGAGACCTCAAGGATGTCTGCCACCCTCTTGTAAAGCTCTTGGAAAGACTTAAAGTCATCTCCTGCTGCAGGAGGAGGAGGCATAGGTGTGTCATCCAGAGAAGATGACTAAGAGATGGAAGATTCATTGTCCCTTGAAGGTGGATCGTCCTCCTCCTGGCACACTGATCTGTCCAATGATGGCATAGAAGTAGCCCTAGGTGGGGTTGGTTGAGGTTGCACATGTGGCAGTTGCTGTGCTCTGTAAAGACCCCAAGGACCCTTCGACATTGGATGTGGAAGAAACTGGGGTGGTTCCCATTGGAGTAAAACTTGCTGCACTTGCTGCTGCTGTTGGAGTTGACGCTGCTTGGTCAAGGAGTGCCTTGGTGTATGGGCACCAACAAGAGGCTTGTTATCTTCATTGCTCGACAGTGGTGGTGCTGAACCCACAGGAGTGGACAAAGTAAACCTGCTGGATGTGGGTGTACCATCGGTGCCAAATAATGGGGTCATCTGCACAGATGTCACTCTGAGCTCCTCTGCCATTGTAAATGAGTGCAGTTCCAGTGTCACTGGTGCCAGAGGTAGTGTGTAGGGTGGTACCTGTGGTGCGGACAGTGCCCATTGCGTATTCATCGGTGCCATTTGTTTTTGTTTCCCCAGCACTAGGGGTGGTGTGGGTACCGATGGCGCTGAGTGTACCTTAGATTTTTTCGGTGTCTGAAGAAGGCGTTTTTGACTTTGCCTTCACTGGTACCGACTAGGAGGCAGGTGGTGCTGGCGGTGCCAACTTTGACTTAGGCTTCTCCAGTGCCCTTGCAGCTGCCTTTGTGAAGTCCTTGGACCCTCAGGAACCATTAGAACCAGACGGTCCTGGTACCTCCCTGACTGATGCCCTAATGGGAGTAAGTGCAGGGGGTATTATGGGTGTTTGTCCCTTTTTTTTGAGGGGGAGTCACCCTTACTTGATGCATAGGATCTCTTCCTGGGCTGGGCTAAGGAAGAGTCCCTAACGCCAGAACCTGAGGGAGCTGCCTTCTCAGACATAGACACTGGGAAGGGCTACTAAGGTGGAGTGAAATGTTCCCGGTCTAAGGCTGGTCTTCCTGTGTTCTCCAGGGAGAACAGCTTCAGTTGTAGCTCCCTGGCTTTCCATGTCTGGGCTGTTAACTGCTTGTGCCCATCAGAAACCAGAATGGAGAACCTGCAAGACATGCAACATTTAAAGCCTGGGGAACCTGGCATTCCAGAGAGGAAAGATTGAAAGGTAAAAACCTGGCCTCCACAAAGTAAAACAAAGAAGAAAAAAGAAAACAAATTTAAATAACACTAACTCTTTTAACTATTAGAACTATGAAGATCAGCTAACTATATTAAACTACACGAACAAGAACAAAGTGAGAGTCTTTTGAAGAAAAATAGGTGAAGACCACTGTGGTTCTGACCAACACCGGCAGCACCAGAGAAGGAACTGAAGGGATGGTTGGCTGCACATGCCATCTGCTTCCCATGCGCAGCCTACCAGAAGGTAGTGCTACCAAATATATCTGATTAGGCACGCAGCAGCACCTGCACACCTAAGGTGGAGTACCCAATGGGACACTCCTCAAAGAAGAACTATGTAGCTACTGTATTCTGCATCTGCTACAGGCAATGATTCTTTGGCAGTCAATTTACAGCACATGGCAGCAGACCAATCTTAATATCACCAAAACTGGATTAAGGACAAAATGAAATTAAGAACTGTACTCTTAAGAGGTAAAATCCATCATATCCACAGTTAACATCTGAATATTTCAAGTCAATAATAAAATTATAATGGTACATTTTGAAGGGCCTTTGAAAATTTTCACCATAAAGTGCTAAATTTAATAGTTCCTATGTATCAACCATAATGTACTTCCTCCATAGATGTACCACCTTGTTTCCTCAGATATAAGGCAGTCATACTGTGTGTAGTGAATGAGGAACAAGGGCAAACACTGAGCATTGAGGATAAAGTAAATATCACAAAGCTGCTTCATTTACTAAGCACCATCTACACTGTTAAGACTGAATAAGAGAATATAGTAGTTGATCAGACATGTACCCATAACTAAAGATGGATTATAATGCATATGAACATGAGGGCAGGCTAAAGATGAATGGACAACCATGACTTTGGCATTGCCTGATTTTTGAGTGCATCTCCCTTGTGACCTTAAGATATTTTTTTAAACGTAGACCACTATATTTTATGGATATGAATAAAGTGACATCGCATTTATAAATTTATACACATACTGGACAATCTCTTGCTGAGTGAAATTCATGATCTTCCAAGGTAAGATCCATACAATGCAGTTACTAACATAGCTGATGCAGTAAGGAAGATATCTAGTGGTATGCTAATAACACATCTTACAAAATAGCCTTGCCGGTAATTATAAAAGAGTGTGTGTCCCAGGAAATTAAAATCACATAGGGTGCATCTACACAGCACCCAAAACTCAAAATAAGATATGTGTATTTCGAGTCTATTTTGAAATAGGCTATTTTGAAATTTGGTTCTGTCTACACATGCCAAATTTCAAAATAAAGCACTATTTCAAGCCATCCCTTACTCCTCATAGAATGAAGTTTACAGGGATGGTGAAATAGCGCGTTTGCTATACTGTATTTCGAACTAGTGGATGCATTCAAGAGATGTGGTATCCTGAAATAGCACTGCAGTGTAGACATGCCCATATGGTAAATGACAGAGTTTTGTCTACATCTATAAGGATTAGGGTGGGGGAAAGAGAGAAAAAGACACACACATCAGTTACCGGTAATGTAAAAAAATACAAAATACTCATATAAGCAGTGCATTTATATAGCTTCTCGCTAAACTAGTGACAAAAATGGAATTTAGTACCTTTAACGCTAGTTTTTTATATCCTGCTCCTGCATCCCACAGAGCTATAGTTTTGTCATATGCTCCAGATACTACAAGGGATGCTAAAATACAAAATTAGATGCCATATTATCTCTCTGTTTTTTCTATACAGACTAACAGAACAAGCTCAATCCAGATTTGAATCAGACTGTTACAAAATTTAAATAATGCACTGGTATTAGTTATGCTTTAGCAAAATAATGAAAGTCCCTAGAGCTTTTTAATATGTAAGAACATAGGCATAAAATTAAGTTATCAAAAATACAACTGAGCTTACAAAAAAAATGCTTATGTCTTGAAATGTGATGAGACTTTTTATATTTAAAAAGTTGAAAGAAAAACAACAACCACATTTATTAATTATTATTACTGTATCTCACAAAATACCATAAAGATGTTTTTCTGAAATATCACATTATTGGAAAATGTTGATTGAACCATATCGAAACTTTACTCCTGGAAGGTACTGACTAAAGACACATAGTGGCATCCTTTCTCTCATTAACAGTAATAATATATAGCATTTACTTTCTATAGTGCTTTACATTTTCTATAGTGCCTTACAACCATTAATTAATACTAGGTGGATAATAGCAAGCGTTCATGCATGAGGTGGCTCAATACTGTTTTTATTTCTCTTAATCATGATCATTGTTCAGTAAATCCTTGATGATTATATCAATTAACCAGCATTTCAGATGTCCAAATAAAGCAGAACACAGACCATCAATTTCAATTTACTGACATTATGTGGGTAGCCATTTAATCAGAATGAAAAACATTAACATTTGAAATTGAGAAATAAATTAGTCATATGGTCGGTATGTGACCCCTTTGTGACTCATCTGAAATGCCTTACATATTTATATTTAAAAAATATGTATAATGATATTTAACTTAACTCACCATCTTTGCTAAAAATGCAGGAACTAACAGAACCTTTATGGCCTTGGTTCAAGCAAATAGGTCCATGACAACGAAACTCCCCTATTTTTACATCCCATATTTTTAAGATTTTGTCCCAAGATGCAGTGCACAAGTAATGCCCATCTATGGAAAAGCAACAATCTGAGATGACATTGTTGTGTGCCCTGAAATACATGAAAATCACTGCAACAGGATATTGTGATTTTTAAAGCCATTAGAATGCTGTAAAGGCAGGGGTAGGGGTGGAATCTATGGACTGCAGGCTGGATCAGGCCCATAGCTTGCCTCGACTTGAGTCTGCTCCTGCACGCTACCTTTCACCCAGACCCCACACTCTCCCCCTCAGCCGGCTCCTGCACCCTACCTCCTACCCAAATCCTGTACTCTCACCCCCAGCCTGCTCCCCAGCAGCTTCTCCTACACGCTGAATTCCTCATTTTGGTGTACCCCAGAGCCTAAGGGGCCACAAAAAATTCACTACAAAATCCAGACCCTACAAAAATTAATACAACCCTGGGGAATTTCAGCAACTCCCCCTTCCACAGGGCTTGAGCTTGAAGGAAGTATCTTTTGCCCCCTGTTTTTCACTGGGGAGTCAAGTGAGGGTTGTGGCGTTGTTGTGGAGTTTGGTTTTGTTTTTTTGCTCTTCGCTTGTGTATGGCCCCTGACTGAATTTTCTGTGTCAGTGGTCCCTGACCAGAAAAGGTTCCCCACCCCAGTGTTCCCGCTAAGAGGCACAGCAGCACAGCTTCACAAGTGGTTAATCAGCCCCACCCAGTCAGAGGCTCAAAGCTCCATGCAGGGAGCTGACTGACTGGGCACTGCTGATTAATCACCTGCGAAGCTGTGCTGCCATGCATCTTACAAGGAACACTGACCACCCCTGCTGTAACGGCTTAATCTTGCCAGTTCTGAGCACTTTGGCTCCATCTAGTGAAGCATTTAAATACCTTCTTAGCTTTTAGCATCAGAATAGTCCTGTAAAATTCACTGTAACTGCTCGTTTGCCAAAGGTCAAGTATGTGATTAAGTGCTCTTCTGGATGAGGTCATAAAAAGTTTTAAAAAATTACTTGGGAAAGTTAGATATCTTCAAGTCACCAGGGCCTGATGAAATGCATCCTAGGATACTCAAGGAGCTGATAGAGGAGGTATCTGAGCCTTTAGCTATCATCTTTGAAAAGTCATGTAAGCTGGAAGATACACCAGAAGACTGGAAAGGGGCAAATATAGTGCCCATCTATAAAAAGGGAAATAAGAACAACCCAGGAAACTACAGACCAGTCAGTTTAACTTCTCTGTCAGGGAAGATAATGAAGCAAGTAATTAAGGAATTCATCTGCAAACATCTAGACGATAATAAGGTGATAAGTAGCAGCCAGCATGGCTTTGTAAAGAACAAATCTTATCAAACCAATCTGATAGCTTTCTTTGATAGGATAACGAGTCTTGTGGATAAGGGAGAAATGGTGGATGTGGTATACCTAGACCAGTGGTCTCCAACCTTTTTACACCCAACATCACTTTTTAAATGACAGAACAAGCCAAGATCTACCGCCCCGCCCCTTCCTTGAAGCCCT